ATATATGTATATAAGCGTATTTTAACGTCGGCGCACAAAAATTATTTATCTGTTTACTCTTTGTACTTTTGCTCACAGATTACACTGACTGGGGTAAACGCAGAAGCTCGGGTGTTGTTTGGTTGGGTGCGTGAGTCGATAGTGGGGTGGTGTTTTCATAGGATTACTTTACGCTAGTTGTGTGGGTGCCACCCTAGTGTGAGAAAGAGAATGACAACTGTAATGTTCTGTTTCAATGCAGTAAAGGCTCATGCTATTTTTCCTCTTGCTGGGTGGTGTTTGGCTCTAGGAGTTCTTGTTGCTGCTGCTGATGCTGTTGTTGTAACTGAAGGATAATATTAAGCCATAAATAAAATGGATTAAAACCCACTGATCCGCTCATCAAAAAAGATTTCACCCTTTGTAACACTAGAACATTATTAAAGCTTTTCTCCAAAATCAATATCATCAGAATCCTTCTGTAGCGGATTTGCGCAATTTTAAATTTATGTTGTTGCTTATACTTTCACATTATGTCGTATGATGTTTTTGGTTAAGATGTCTTTTCACCAAGTAGATGCTACGATGACCCGGTTTAGTTATATTTTTTTTTTTTGCTTAGCTCTATTTATCGTTATATAGTGCATATTTAATTGTTCTTATTCAAAATAAAATTAAATATATGCCACCAATTTGCAATTATATTGTTTAAATCCATGATTGGCTCCTAATGTAAACAACAATTTTGTACAGTGTGGTCAAACAAAAAAAGTCAAACAATGGCCTGTATGCCAGTAGAAATTTGAAAATTTGTAGTTGGTTTTGCACTGTGTTTGACGTAGACACATTGCCTAAAATTGTAGTTTTATTTTACTTGGAAGGCTCCAGCAACACAATATACACAATCTACATAGCCGTGTTGCCCAGTCCCTCACAATTATGGAGTTGTTATTTTCAAATGTGTACTACTTGCTCACATTAGCAAAATTTTACAGTCTGTATGCTGGATACTTACTGATGGCTCTCGTGTATGGGAATACATTCTTATTAATATATATA